CACACAAAATCAAACTTGTTAGGATAGTACAATAGCAACCAATCTTATAGTATCAACTGTCTTCCTCTGGTTGGTTTATTACTTAGATGCACCTTAAATACTATATGTGTTTATGTGTACAAATGTGTGCTTGACTGTAAGGTATGAAAGGCTTGACAGCAAACTGAGGGTATCTGCTATGAATTCCAACTGGCACTAAAAATGTTAATGCAGTGTTTTAACTTATACTTAAATAGTCTTGGATACTTCTAAAACAAGAGTGAATTGAACACTATATAATTTTTAATTAAATTTTTATATTGACTTTGTCACCTTTTAAAATTAGCTAACAAAAAAAGAAACAACAAACAAAAACCCTAAAATATTTTAAAGAGACTATAATGGAGTTAAAATATGGTTGTTAAATTTTTCTATGCTGCTGTATGAAAGTTCTTATTTTGCCTTGTGCTAAATTTGGTGTGTGTTCATTTTTATCTGTATTACAAGACCTCTGCTTACTTATGTAGAACTTCACTAGATTCCACAGTAAAAAAGTTTGTAAAATGTTTTACATGTTTCGGATGTTCCTTCAGAGTTGAAGATAATTACTTCCTAGTCCAAATCACCTGCATGATGACGGGGAAAGGGAGCAGGCAGGGTTTGAACCCTGGACCATCGATAAATCTGACCGACAGTCCAGCGCGCAAACTGCACGACCAGGCAGCCATCCAATGTAAGAGTTGAGCAGCATTGGGATGTAGTCTATGTCTTCTATGTCACAATGTTGTCATTATGAAGCCTTGGCAATAACTGTTTAGTAATTCTATAGTGTTAGCCTAATTCTGAACTAATTTTGTCATACTTTCTGTCTATTCATTGTCAGTTTTGCTTTGTTGTTACTAGATTTTTAGAAATCTAAACTTTTTTTTATTTTAATCTAAACTATTTTTAGAGAGCTCGTGTTGAAGATGTTGTAGTCAGCGGTGAGTACAGAGGTCTACAGTTAGGAAAAGTGTGAGTATTAAAAAATAAATTCAATTCAGTAACATTGTTTTGTGTGCCCCACCCAAATCTAAGCCTCACTTTTTTTTTTTTTGGGGTTGAAGATCTGAAGAAAAAAAATTAAAACATGAGTATAAGTCACATATCTCCCATGGCTTGTCACAGCAAAGTAAAATGATTGCCAATGATAATTACTACGTTTTACCTTAATTGAAATAGCGCCTGTTGTCACTTTAATTTTTGGTCTATTAAAGATTTTGTAAATATTATTTGTATATTTATATAGTAATGTAATGTATTTGGTAAGAGTCAAGGTCATCCATATTAATTTGTCAAAGTTAATATATTGATATTATTTCTTATACTTTTAACTTTCAGAACTTGTACAGTTAAATTGCGGATGGCTATTTTTTTTACCTTTGTTTAGCTATGTTGACACTTAGACCACTCTTTTATAAAATAATTTTAAAGTATTTTTCTTACAAAGCTTGTATCACTCACTCTGTCTGTCTGGTAAAAAGTTTGTACTTGTTATTTCTCCCACACCAAATTTCAGATCAAGCTGAAATTTGTGCACAATTATTTCTTGTACCTGACAATACAAGAATCAATAAAAAAAATTAACAGTTAGTTAATTGACTTTTGTAAATAAATATTTTGTTTGGTATCTTGAACAAGGAAAAGAAATTCTACTTGACTAATGTGGTGGTACAAGTTTATACTTAGTGGTTCACTGCTTTAAAGTTTGAAGCTAACAATAGATACCTGCAAACCTGGAAAATTGGTTAGTGCATTGGCTTGAGGAGCCCTCAAGTTCAAAATCTGGTTGTTCACTTTTTTTTTTTATAAATGCATTTAAAAAGCAATCACCCTGATACCCCCTTTCTTTCTGCCCCTACCTCTTTCCAACTTGTCCAGACAAGTGATAGGGCTATAGTGGATTGAAAAAGCTAAAAGCATGAAATTGCGCTAAAAAAAATTGGTAAAAATATTTGTATTCACACAGATTTATTGTTGTAGGTCTAGATCTATTACAAATTTGAATACATGACTGATCCAAACTAATTGATACAACTACACTTTGTTCTTTTTTAAAAAGTATTTTATGTTTTTCTTGTTTTTAAATTTAGTTTTTGGATCTCTTTCATTGAAAATTATAATCACTGATTAAACAAATATTCTTATTTCAGTTTATTGGATATACTTGTCTGCCTGAGCAAGAAAATGGGCTCCTATAAAGTATCATTGGAGTGCAAGGACCATAACGTTAAGTTCTACGAGCAGTTTGGATTTGAAAAAGCTCCAGAGCAGAACTTCATGCACATCCGCTACTTTGATTGATGACAGTCAGTTTATTACAAAAAATGTTAAACTAACTTAGGCTCTGTATAGATTTTGTTTCCATTATTTATTTATAATCAGTAATGATATTGTAGACGTGATATGATTTGTATAGACACTCTCCTTTGGTCTTGTTGTTGTAATATGCCATGCAGAGTAAAAGTGTGGCTGGCTTGCAGAAATATGATGGCCCTACATCTTCTATTTATTGTATCAATATCTTCAGAGCTACTATGATTTAAAATTGGTCATTCTGTTATGATGAAAAATTAAACATTTTTTTTTAATGATATTATTTTTAACTGAATAATGCTTTTGTAAAATCTAATCCTTTAAAGAAACTTACATTTTATTTTGTTTCAATCATTTCTGCTTACATTTTTTATATGAAAGTGTTTTTTTAATCTTGCATATTTTTTTAAAGTTAATCTTTTTTTTCTCTCTGTAATGTAATTGTTCTTGCTTTCAGTCATATATGAGGTTGTGTTTAGAACTCATAATGTTTCATGAATCTCATGGCTTCTCATAATTCTTGCTTATAATAATAATCATAACAAATCCTGAATTTTGATTGAACAATAACTCGCCTTTTTCTTTTAAATCTCTTGTCCTAATAAAAAATTTATGGCAGTAATTTTAATTGCAAATGAACAACTCAGTTCTTTCTGGTATTCCTATTAGCAAACACACATAAGAATCTCATTGCAATGAATTTTAGGTATGACATGCTAAAGCTCTAGTAGTTGATCTGTTTCATGGTAAATCAAGATTTGTTTTGTTTGTATCCAATGAAACTTTACAATTTTTAGATGTATTTTTATTTGTATTTATTATAGCATTTATGGCATTACAATTGTATTTAAGAACAACTTACTGAAACTGAGATCTTTATGTAACATGTGTCAAGAGATGCCAGTCACTTATGAGAGCATTGATTGTAGTATTATATTTGTAGTACACTATTATTGGTTTCCTGATGTCTCCTTGATAAATTTAACAAGGCCGTAAACAATTAGAATTTTTATCTGAAAGATAAGTGAAATGTGTGTTGAGATACACTTGTTATTGATGTATACATTTATGTATTTGCACTGTGCCTTAACACTTGGACCATGTTTTGTAGTGTATTAATAATACTTATGTTTACTGACTAACATATCAAATATTATGATTTGTGTCCTTAAAATGAAGTGTTTTCTTGTATGCTATACAAGATAAAAAATTATACATGATCAATTCATTTTAGAACAGAAAAAAAGTTGTGCTCTTAAAACAGAAGAGTTACTTGCTTAAGAATTCCAAAGTGCCATTGACTTGGGCATAAACAAAATAAGTAAAGTTTGTTTAAGTTGCATTGTATTTTATAGAAGTTGCATGCGATAATATTTCCAGATATTTCAAACTAATGTACAGGTCTTTTAAATTTTTTTCTTGCGTAGGAAGCTGTATCTCTTCTTCGTCTTTGCTCTAATTTTGTAGGTTTATGAAGGACACTGATTTTGACTGGTTCACACCTTTATGCTATTATTCTTAGTCCTATGCAATTCACATCAAGTTTACAAAGAATACTCCTTGATTGGTCATTCAAAAACATTTGTTTTGTTCTGTGTAGGAAGACAATGTAGCTGAACAAAACTTGACATTCCATGACTTGCCAACTTTCATTAACAAAGAATTTTAGATATCATACAAGTTAGGGAATGTAAGGAAATATTGCTCAGGTATTTTTATTTTTTATTGTTTGTAAATGGTTGGTGACCCATTTTAAAACAACCTTTTTTTATGCACTAACAGTTGTTGTTTTTTTTAATTAGGTAGACTACAATGTTCAGTATTGTAACACTATATTAATAAGTTCCTATTGTTTTATTAGATAACATTGCATGCACCATGTTTGATAAAGTCTGGCACAAATTAAAATATGAATGGTTATTAGATAATTAAATATACTCCACCTGAAAATGAACTTAGTAAATTAGTAATTAAATCTATCTAATTCAGCCAAGTGGTAAGCTAGATAACTATTGGTAAATATTGAAAACATTGTAACATATCACTGTAGAACAAATTAAATTAATCTGAGTTCACCTCGTCTATGCTGTTTCCTTTCAATCTAAAACTAGATTGTTACCATTTTTTTTTTTCATTTTCAATTCTGACATGCGATGTCATGAAATCTACCTGTGATGACTGTGTGTATAAGAATCTAAAATATTTTGTTCTCCATTGTGCTGTCCAGTTGACATTAACATAAACATTAATAGTCTCTCACTCTGAAGCTTGTCAGTAGCTCATGTAACTTATGTTTGTACACCAGAGTGTCAGCTTTATGTACTTTGAAGGAAAACTGTTGATTGAATCATCTTAGACTTGTCAGTTCTCACTTTACTTTGTCTCAGCTGTTAGACTTGTCAGTTCTCACTTTACTTTGTCTCAGCTGTTAGACTTGTCAGTTCTCACTTAACTTTGTCTCAGCTGTTAGGCTTGTCAGTTCTCACTTTACTTTGTCTCAGCTGTTAGACTTGTCAGTTCTCACTTTACTTTGTCTCAGCTGTTAGACTTGTCAGTTCTCACTTTACTTTGTCTCAGCTGTTAGACTTGTCAGTTCTCACTTTACTTTGTCTCAGCTGTTAGACTTGTCAGTTCTCACTTTACTTTGTCTTAACTTTGATTTTATGTTGTTTTTTTTCTCTTCTTAAACATGAATATAAAATGTGTACAATTGTAAACACTTAAACTAGTTACCAGCTCTGCATATATTGATCATTGGATTAATGGAAGTCTCCCTTACTTCAATAGAAAGCTTATACGGGTTTAATGTTGTTAGTCAATGATAATGAAAAAATGATAAGCAATCCACAATGACAGATATTCTTATACTGCATTGTACATTCAGTTTTCTCTATTTGTAAACTTTTTATCTCTTTCAAACTTTTTTATAGCACCAAGAGTTACATCCTTCTATTAAATCTATTGACATTAAGGGTGACAAATGCCTTGTAATTGTCACCGGTAATTCACTCAAATCTTGGCAATACATTCGGACCTGTAGATTGGTAACTTAGCTTTTATCCTAACCTAACAATCTCTTTCTTATTTAAATTTGGATTGTTGTTATGTTGAGAAAAGTATAATCTGCTCTCTGAGACTGTACAGGGTTTGTAAGGTTACATGCCTTTAATAAATGTCATTATCTGTCTAAATCAAGGTTTATTATTTAAAACAGAAACTGACAATCTTGACACTATGTGATGTTTAAAGAAAAGTCCGGTTATAAGGCTTAAGTTCATTACAAGCCAATATGATAAGTTGCCACATAGGACTTTTAAAAATATATTTTATGTGTATGTTTCAGTGGACTGCTGTCATTAGAAACTTGAGTTGACATGTTTGTGGTAGGCTACTTAGACTCTAGTTGCAATTTGAAATTGATCTACTTTTAGACCTATTAAAAAGTCTACTTTATTTACAAGATAAGGGTAAATGTGATGTTTGTTTGTCATGGTAATGCTACTGACACCCTTTTGTTACTGTTGCTAATCCAAATGTCCAGTTGAAACTGTTCATGTTTCTGTTGCACTGTCTCTGTCTGTTATTTTAGCACTTTATTTTTTTTAACGTTGTGATATGTAGTGTCAGTGATGTCTAGATCTCTTTCTAGAAGTGACATGAAGAGAGTAACGATACCATGATATGCTTTCTTTTTTTTTTAAACTTTGAGTTGGCAGCTGCTTCAAACAGTATTTTAGTTAGTTTGTTATGTGTTCAATGCATTGTATGAGTTAGAGCATTGTATTGTTGGATACTCTGTTACTAGACATCATTTAGATCTATAGTCAACAACGATCTCTTCACCTTTTTTTCTCTCTCTTTGTTGATTGCATTCCTCTACACTGTTTCCTTTCTGTGTTGGCAATTGTAGTGTTTTAGTGGGAGATGAACTGAAGCCATGCTGGGTATAAACTGTGACGGTGAAATAAACGAAATGATGAGCTCATAGTGTTCTGTTTTTTATATAAAGTCTGTTTTCTGACATATGTTTAGGCGCAGTATTTGTAGTAGTATCTGCATTACCAAACTATCGGAATCACAGTATTTGTGGTAGTATCTGCATTACCAAACTATCTGAATCACAGTATTTGTGGTAGTATCTGCATTACCAAACTATCGGAATCACAGTATTTGTGGTAGTATCTGCATTACCAAACTATCGGAATCACAGTATTTGTGGTAGTATCTGCATTACCAAACTATCGGAATCACAGTATTTGTGGTAGTATCTGCATTACCAAACTATCGGAATCACAGTATTTGTGGTAGTATCTGCATTACCAAACTATCGGAATCACAGTATTTGTGGTAGTATCTGCATTACCAAACTATCGGAATCAGTGTTTGCAAGCTGTCAATACAAAACGAAGGACAAGGCTGTAGATCTATACTCTCTAACACAGGGGTGGACAAATTGCGGCCCGCCGAGTTGTTTTATGCGGCCCGCCGACACCTACAGAAATCTGGTGTACCCACAGTATATAGATATAAAAATGAAAATATTTTTAAAAAATACCTATATAAATTTTGAAACTGTCTCATTATAAAAAGTTTTAAGCAAACGAAGAATATGCTTATTGGCTATACATCAATTTCAATACACTCAATTCAAGACACAATGTCTGAGTGTTAGGTAGGCTTGAAACAAGATAGCAAGTGTAACAATTGATGGAGCTTGATCTTTGACTGAGAACCATAAACTTGAAACAGGAAAGTTTGCAGAAAGCTGCATATAATTTGATCACTAAACAATAGAAGTTATTGTCTAAAGCAAAGGGAGTTAACCACGGGCAGTTTTGATATAGGAATAAATAAGACAATGCATTCGCTAGCTTAGCATGGGTAAGGCAGAAGAAGAAGAAAATAAATCTCAAGGATGAAATTGTTCTGTTACTTGAAGGACACTGACTGTGACTTTGTTGCCAATATTTCTAATGAAGAGTGGAAGACGGAATTTCATGTTTCTTATCATTATTATTGCAATTGATTGTGTACATATGAAATGTAAATACATGTTAAATCTTTTCAAACAAGGCTTTCCCATTTCTACAGGCAACCAAAAAAAAATTTTGTCATTTTCCTTTACTGAAAGGTGAAACTATCTTTAGTGAAATGATTAAAAGTACAACACTTATTAAAAGAAGCCGATTCAGCTCCAGAAGACATAACTCAATCAAAAAGAAGTTCCAGTCAGCACTACCACGGGAGCTTTATGGGTGCCAGAAGCTGTATTTCCACACTCTAAAAAACTTTGCTGCTGTTCACACTATTTGGGTTCACATACATCAGTTCCTTCTCTTCGTTCTCATTTTACATGTTGAATGGTTCAAATCAGTAATCCTATATCTGAGATGAACCGCGTAGAGGTTTCCAGATCAGCCAGTTCTCCGAAAAGTCTTTGGAGAGTCTTGTTCGGGTTAAGAAACATCATGCACGAGTGTAAGAAGTAAAATACTGCACATTAAGTACAACTGTATATTTGTGGGGATATTGTGATATAAAAAGGCAATAGCAATTTTTAAAAAATCGTAATACAGCGCATATATGAATTAAAAGACACTCTACACAGCAAGCTTATCTTTCTAAGATTATATATATATATATATGCGGTCCGCCATGCCCAAACTTTTTTCAATGCGGCCCTCGATACAAAAATGTTGTCCACCCCTGCTCTAACACAAAAGGTTATTTTTTTTAATAACGTGGCATACCGTCTGCCTAGTTGTCAAAACTCTTCTTGTTACATCAATAAATAAAGTAATTTAAAAAAAAAACTTGTCACGTGACCATAGTTTTGAGAAAGTAAAGATACACTATTTTTAACTAGGGTTATATTAGATTATATTCCACAAGGTTGTTAACGCCGGAAGTGGTAATGGTCTTAAGCCCATCATTACCTACAAAGTGCTTCCAATGGCATGCGTCTCAAATAGCCTCTGACAACCAGTCCAACTCCTGGCCTTCACGTGTGGCTCAGTTACTGAGCCTAGCGGAACCGTTACCACAGACAGGAGAAGGGGCAAAGGCGAGCAACTGGCGCCTAAACCAGTAAGCTTCGGGCAGAAGGGGCTCGTTAGCCTTGGTTGGCTACCCATCTAGGAGAAGGAAAACTCTGAATCCAAACCTCCGCTGCCCTGCGGCTATACCCAAACACGGGAAAGGCTTCGGGAGACAACCCTGAGGAAAAATCAGGAGCTGGTGACCCTTAGGCAGACTGTGGCACACCGTTCTACAGCCTGGCAGATCCTGCGGCGCTACTGATCCCAAACTGTACTGGATACTCCGTTCCTTTGGTCACATCAGCTGCACGGAGAGGGGGGAACTGCTGTGTGGGCGACATCGTTCCGACCATAAACAATGCCCAGGCTTTCATCTCACTTATTCAAAGCCCTAACCCTAAAAAACTGGAGAGGACACTCCAGCTTCGCCTTAGGCGTCGGCCAAACACGGGAAGTGGCAGTCACCGGATATAAGCTCAAATGCTCAATTGACGTAGAGCAGGGCGCCAGGGGCCACTTTCGTCGGTGGAAGGGATCCTAGGATTCCAATGGACAGCTACCGCCCGCCTCAAGCTGGGCAGCCCCCAGCCAATAATGTGCTGTCCCGTCATGCCTGTCTTCCTCGTTTGGGTACACGAGGATAGGACAAAATCTGAAAAGCAGGCACAAAGCCAATGTACCAGTCGACATGAAGAAAAAAAAGAGGAGCTCCACTCTTAAACTGGGCACGTGGAATGTGCGTACTCTACAAACTGGACTTAATGAAAACCTACCAGACATAGAAGATGTCAGAAAATCTGCAATAATAAACGATGAACTGTCCAGGCTCAAAGTAGACATTGCCGCCCTTCAGGAAACTAGTTTAGCTGACTCTGGATCAATCAAAGAAAAAGACTACTCCTTCTTCTGGCAAGGCAAAGCCGAAAGTGAAGTAAGGGAACATGGCGTTGGTTTTGCAGTTAAGAACACACTGCTGAACACAGTAGAGCTGAAGTGCAACGGTTCAGAAAGACTCCTTTCACTACGCCTTAACACATCTATTGGACATGTGACTTTGATATGTGCCTACGCTCCTACTCTGAGTTCCACACCAGAGGCCAAAGATATGTTTTATGACAACCTTTCGTCTGCTCTTAGCGAGATCCCAACCACGGAACAGGTTATCATCCTCGGCGACCTCAATGCACGCGTTGGATCTGACAACTCTGCATGGGACAGTTGTATTGGGCGTTTTGGTGTCGGAAAAGTAAATGAAAACGGACAAAGGCTCCTCGAGGTTTGCTCACTACACTCCCTCTGCGTCACTAATACCTATTTCAAAACTAAACCGCAGCACAGAGTATCTTGGCGGCACCCTCGCTCCAAACACTGGCACCAACTAGATCTAATCATGGTAAGACAAAAGTGCTTAAAATTTGTAAAGCTTACCAGGTCCTACCACAGTGCAGACTGTGACACAGATCACTCCTTGGTATGTTGTAAGATCAATCTCCTCCCCAAAAAAATCCACCATACCAAGCAGATTGGAAGACCCCAATCGGATGTAAGCAAGATGTGTCAACCTGATCTCCAGATACAGTTTGTGGAATCTTTTGAACGCGAGTACAAAAATATCTCTGAGAATACAGCAACTGAAAAATGGGAATACCTCAAGTCCACCATACAAAAGACTTCCCTGGAAATCTTTGGAAGAAAAATTACAAAACAAAATGATTGGTTCGACTCTAAAGCAGTTATTTTAGCCCCTGTCATCAGAGCAAAGAGAGATGCACTCGCTACTTACAAGGCAAAACCTACCCATCGCAACCTGCTAAACCTGAAAGAAGCTAGAGCCAATGCACAGAGGACAGCAAGGATCTGTGCCAATGAATACTGGGTAGAGCTCAGTGAGAGTATTCAGCTCGCAGCCCAAGTGGGCAACATAAGAGGGATGTACGAAGGAATCAACAAGGCTCTCGGACCCTCCCAAAACAAGACAGCACCTCTGAAATCAACCACTGGGGAAATTATCACAGACAAGTGCCAACAAATGCACAGATGGGTGAAACATTACTCTGAGCTCTACGCCACAACAAGCTCAGTCTCTGACTCAGCCCTTAAAGCCATCATACAACTACCCACAATGAACGAGCTAGATGAAACACCCACCCTTTCAGAGCTCAACAAAGCCATAGACAACATTGCTGCCCGCAAAGCACCCGGATGCGATGGTATCCCCCCAGATCTTCTAAAACAATGCAAAACTACTCTAATCCAACCTCTACACGAACTGCTTTGTAAATGTTGGCAAGAAGGTGCTGTGCCACAAGACCTGCGGGATGCTAAAATCATTACACTGTATAAGAACAAAGGTGACAGAAGCGACTGCAACAATTACAGGGGAATCTCCCTCTTAAGTATTGTGGGCAAAGTCTTTGCTCGAGTGATACTTCCCAGGCTACAAAAACTCGCTGATCGGGTCTACCCAGAATCACAATGCGACTTCCGCTCAGGGAGATCCACGATTGACATGATTTTCTCCATCCGCCAACTCCAGGAAAAGTGCAGAGAACAAAGGATGCCTTTATACATTGCGTTTATTGACCTGACAAAGGCCTTCGATCTAGTTAGCAGAGATGGCCTCTTTAAAATTTTACAGTTAATAGGCTGCCCACCCAAGCTACTAAATGTAATCATATCTTTCCACCAAAATATGATGAGCACAGTGCAATTCAACGGTGCCAGCTCTGAAAGTTTCAGTATAAACAGCGGAGTTAAACAAGGATGTGTCCTGGCCCCAACCCTCTTTGGAATACTATTTTCACTGCTAATCCACAACGCGTTTGACAAATCCACTGAAGGCATCAATCTCCATTCCAGATTTGATGGCAAACTCCTAAATATTGCCAGACTGAGGGCCAAAACTAAAATCAGAGCCACCCTCGTAAGAGATATGCTATTCGCGG